TTTTATACTTAAAATTATTATTTTTAAACTTTGATACCAGATTTTTATACTTAAAATTATTATTTCTAAATAGTCTATTAACTTTCAAGCTCTGATACCAAATTAAAGAAATGGGAAAATCCGTATAAAAATCTGGTATCGAAGCCTATAAATAATAAATTTAAATAAAAAAGTTATTTTTATAACAAATATAAATTTAAGGACTAAAAGATAAAAAAAAATAAATCAGAGGACTATCTGTTCTCTAACGATATAGGAAGTTTTCCGTTATCTTTGACCAAGTAGACGAAATTGAAATGAATCTGAAAGTTAATAGACCACTTAGAAATAAAACATAGTTTCTAGACTAAAATGAAATCAAGGTGATAGTTAATAGACTAAAAATTAAATTAAGCCTAAAATTATGGCTCCAATTTCTTTGAGAAACAAGATTAATATATATTTTTCTTCATATCTTTAAAAACTATAAATAAATTTATGTGATAAAAAATTTATGTATAACCATACCCACATCCGAAGTTATGTGTCACACCCCAAAACCCGAATTCGAGGCGCGACAGACGCCGTGCACTCGTGAGAGGATCCCACAAATACACAAGGCTCAAAATTTTTTCAAATCACATCTGACAATCCAATAACTCAAATCAATTATCTCAAAATAATTCTATGTCCATCATGACTTAACCTCAAAATCTCAATTATCTCCAAGTCAAGTCTTTTGTAAACTAACAATCCATTAAAGAATTTATAAAATCTCCAATTACAACCAAGCTTGCAATATCATCATTATATCTAAAATCCATATTCAAATTTCAAGATGGTTAGCCTTCTAACTCGTCACTCCCCTTGATTTCTCCGTCCTCAGTTTCACTTCCTGAAATGGTGGACAAGGAAAACTATGAGATAACTCAGTAAGTAAATATGAATAGCCCTCGATAAAAACTTTAGCATGCCAGATAAATAGTTTAACATAACAAAACGCTCAATGACAAAATCAAATCCAGTTCAATTGCAAAGCATTCAATGACAAACTGTCAATGTAGAAGAAAATTCAGTTCAGTAGTCTCATCTATAAGTCATGGCCAGTATTTAATAAACTCCCACTGGCAGGCGTCAGTAATGGTACCAGTGTTTAACACACTCCCACTGACAGACGTCAGTAATAACCAATGTTTAACCCCATTAGCAGAGTTTCAGAAGTACCAATGTTTACAAACTCTCACTAGCAGGCGTCAGTAATAGTACCAGTGTTTAACAACTCCCACTGGCAAGCGTCAGTAATGACCAATGTTTAACCCCATTGGCAGGGTGAATTGGTTCCACAGAAATACATGTCGACATGTGCTAGCGTTTACAGCTCCCACTAGCGGGCGTCAGTAATTATGACTATATCTGAGACAACCATGCAGAATTTACAGAAAAACTTGAAATTCACAATCAATCTCCCATTTCAGAAATAAACTGGAAAATTTCCATGTGAGCATGGATTTAACAGAAAACTCAACATTTACAAAACTCTCAGTTCATCCAAAACAGTTCAGTCAATTCCAAACAGGCATGCTCAACTCAATGCAACAAAAACAATTTCGTTCCAATCATGCTCAATTCCAGAAAACAATGAAATTCCCATTTTCATTCCAATCATGCCCAATTCCAGAAAAACAATGAAATTCCTGTTTTCATGCTAATCACGCTCAATTCCCGGAAAATAATGAAATTCCCATAAAATCATCACAATTTCCATTTCAGTTTAATCACACTCAAATACTGATAAAATCAATTTAAAATCAATTTAAACATTGCCACCATCTCAAAAACAATTTAAAACATGCTTAAAAATCGAAAGGCTTTACCATAATTTACTTATCTCACTCACACAGAACAGAAGACTAACCCAAGTGCTACGGTGACAGAACGATCAAAACCTAATCACAATATTCCACAATTAATACCGCATTACCACAAATTCAAAGTGAAATCATCATTAGCACTACCCCTAATCACAGTGCTATTTCTATCAATTTCCACAAAACCGAACATCTCCAAATTCATTCTTATATCACAAACTAAACCTTTAAATCCCCGTTAATCATTAACCCTCGGTGTGTGAACAGTGCCTATGAACAGTACCCGTGAACAGTAGCATGTGAACAGTACCTTAACTCCCAAAATTGACAAAACATAGCTAATTCACCGGGATTTTCACACAATTAACCTCACAACAATCAAATTAAGCTAATTCTAAGCACAAAAACACATTTAATTTACTGCCACATGCTATCGGAATTCATCCCCATTTCCGGCAATTTTCGGACAACACAGGAAAAATTCAAACAACAGCTAAATAGGTGAAATTAGACTCAAAGGAAGCTGTCCATACCGGAATTCAGCAAGCAAAACCGAGCCTAGCAGGGGGGAGAAGCCGGCGGCAGAGAAGAAGAAATTCTGCAGGGGAACTCGCGGCTACCCGAAAAATTGGGGAGAAATAAACAGAAATTAGCATAACCCAGCCTAAATCAAGGTTAAAGAGAGGGATTCATGGCTGTTTCCTTACCTAAAACCAGAGCAATTTGCCCCCACAAACAAGAGCAGCAGCTGGACGGGAGAGGCAGAGCAGAGCAGATCCGGATTCTGCAGAGGGAAGGGGGAAATTCTGGGTTCAAGAACAAGAAAATAGGGAGAAATCCCTAAGCTTTGCCGGTGTTCCGACCGGAAAATGGGTTGCGGTAACGGGGGGAGCTCGTCGGGTGCAGAGGGTCGGGGGAAAGGAAGAGCAGGGCACGCGGGTCTGATGGGGAAGGAAAGAAAGAAAGAAAAAAAGAAAAAGAAAAAGGAAAAAGGAAAGCTGATCCTTATCTTAATTTCCTTTCTTTTTAGCCCCTAAACTTTTTACAATTTTATGATTAAGCCCCAAAATAAAATTTTCCCTCAAATAAGTCCCCTAACTTAATTGATAAAATTCCCAAAAATTTGGGATATTACATTATGTCAAGGTGATGATGAAGGGGAAGAGTCATTAATATGCTAGCACATGATTTATTTATTTATTTACAATATTTATTTTTTAAAAAAATTATTTTATATTTTAAATTATTTTAGATTATAAAATATTAATTTTTAAATTAAGACT